ACTAATGGCTATTACTAATGATATGATTAATAAGCTATAAAGATATTTATAAGCGCGAAGATTTATAATCAAAGATTAATAATATAATATGATTGCGCCAATTTTGGCAATTATTTGGATCGTCTGATTTTGCCGATTTGGGTAATCATAAGATTCGCAAAGTGTGACATTTGCTATGTGTGACGGGCATGATAGGGAAATGTGCCGGTCCTGATAACATATACACCGGACGCTGTGCTATAGCCCTTAGCGATGAATTGTGATATAGCATTCACAGGTAATTCGGTTTTTCAGCCGAATTATTTTGTTCATCACCAACATATGGCGTTTTGTATTCTTCAAAAATTTCCTGATTAGGAAATTGTTCCTGGATACGATTATTGGTAATCTTTCCTTTTATGGTCCATTCTTCTAAGTAACTTGGTATATATTTTTCGAATATTTCTTCTTTAAAGTACTGGATTGATGGAGTCCATACCTGATGGTCCATTTGTTTCTTTGTCATCCATTGGGGTGGATACATATTATTGGGTTCATTATGAATTATTTGGGAATATTCATGTGGTAATACCAGGTATAAATACATTGCTATTTCAACGTAATATGGTGATTTTGTATAATCATTATCGCTGGTTATTGCTGGTTGAGTTCCGGATCTAGTATGGGAAAGGTATCCGTGTGTTTTGATGAACTGTAATCGTTCGGGTTTCATTTTAAATTTCAATTCTTTAATAATTTCCCGTATAATACAGTTCCAATATGTTTTATCTCTTTCTTCAAAGTGTCCTCCAAATCCTGAGTGTTGTTCTGGGTATATTTTAGCATTTTGGACTGTTTTGCTGTTAAGACTTCCACGGATTCATCTGATAATTCTCTTTCTCTAAATAGAGTGATAACTGTGTATCGTCTTTTTATTAAATTTCATGTTTGTTCTGATTTTAATGTTATTTCTTCAGGTCTTTTTGTGATTCCTTTTGCACTGTGAATGAATAGTGATCGAAATATATTTTCTGGTTTTGGTATTTCTGTCGATACTTCAATATATTTTGGATATATCTCTTAGATCATTTCTTCATACATATCATATATTTCGTATAGATATTGTTTATCTATATCTTTTTCTTCTTGTCGATTTCTTTTAGCCTGTCTTCTAATCATTTCTTCTTTTCCACATTTAATATATATTTGATAATATGTATCTTTATATATTTGTGTTTCTGTTTGGTAGAGGAGTTTTTCTAATAATCGTAACTCTTCTGAATTTTCAATATTGTGTTTAGTAAATACTTTTGTTTCTACTGCCGTTCGGTCACATATGATGATGGTATTTTCGTCAATAACTTTCTCCAATTCAAGTCTTTTTAATTTTGGTAATTAATGTTCCATTGTGTTGTTAATAGTACTTGGAATGCTAATGAATATTTACTGATGTCAGAGTACATTAAAGAAAGCCAATCCTTATGTTGTAAAGTGATTTCTTCCATTAAGAATACTTTGTATCCTAGTTGAATGAGGAATTCTTTAAGTTGTAGGGCCCATGTGGTCTTTCTTACTCCTATTGCTCCTCCAATTGTTATTAGTTTTGCTTTTAGTAAATTTTCTTCCAGGTAATTATCGAATTGATCAAATTTTGTTAATTCATTTGTTAGAGTTTTTTGACAAAGGTCATCTCTTCTTTGGTTATAGAGGTATTTCAAGGTTTGTTCAATTATTCTAAATTCATCATTGTTTAAATATTTAAAGTATTCTTTCTTCTTTCTTGGTCTTGTTCCATTTCTCTGATTAGTCTTTGATCTTGTTTGTTTACCAAATCAAGATATATTTGGCTACTATTTATTTTCTTTAGCCATTCTTCTGGTTTTGGGATCATGATTTGAAGAGTTTTGTTTTTTCCGTTTTCAAAGATCACTCTTTCTCCTGAATATTCTAAATCTCTAAAGATTTTCATTTCTTCAGTTTCAATCTTATTTAGAGCTTCATATCGATTTTTATATCTCTTTTGATCTTTATATTGTTCCTGTTTTATTCGTTTCAGTTCTGTTCTGTCTGTATTGGTAATTCTTGCCAATAATCCTAATTCCTTTGACCATTCTTGATAATGGTTTTGATCTTTAAACCATAAGGTTTTAAAGGTTTGTTTCTTCAATTTCATTTCTTTAGATATTGTTGTAATATCTTCTTGATTCTTTTTGGAGAGGGTTACTTCTAGGGTCGTTTTTTCATTCCAAATATATTCAACTAATTTTGAAAGTTTTCTATCCTCTTTCATTTCTTCCCATAAGAATTTTTCCAATTCTTCATAACCGGGTTTTATTAATTTAATTGATTTTGGATGTAAAAATATTTCAAATAATATATAGTGGAGTTCTTCTTTAGAGCGGTTGTTAAAGCTAAAGTATCCTTTATTAAATTTTTCAAATATTTGGTTAATATTTTCAAGATTTCCATTATTCTGAGTCTTCTGAGTTTGCTTCTGTGCCATCTTTAATCTGCTCAGTTTCGTCAATTTCTTTTTGAATTATTTTGGAGATTCTGGTTAATTTTTTAATTATTCTTTCGTATACTTCTATTCTGGTATCCTGCCAGAATATATCAGTAAAGTTTTCTGTAATAACTATTTGTCCTTTAAGAATAGTTAGTCGATGAATATGATTATTTAATGTTTCGTTATTCATCAATTTTCGTCTTCTGAATATTTTCCGTCAGAATCTATTGTCGGGTTAACTCCATTTTTAAATTGCTGACAAAGTTTACAAATAGTTATTTTTTGATTATTGTCAGAGAATTCTAGTAATTCCTGGTCAATATTTTCAATTAAATCCTTCAGGCCTTTAATTATATCGTTTAAAGTATCTCTTGTAAGAGTGGCTTCTATTTCAAAGTTTTATATTTGATATGTTGATGATACAGCTATTACTGCGTGTTGTTGGAGTATTAAGATCCTATACTCTGCTTCTGTTAGATCTCGTTTGGATAGTTCTGCTTTATAATTAAACCTTTTTTGTGTGTATCGAAGTATCTGTATAAGATGTAGTCTTATTTGTTTAAGTACTTCTTGATCTGTTCTTTCAATTAGAGTAGGTCTTCTTTTACTCATCAAGATCTAATTCTGGTAATAATATATCAATATTTCTTCTGATATTTCCGATTATTCGATTAATCGTTATAGCGTAGTCAGCATTATCTTGAGTAGTTTTTGGTTTTGGTTTTGATAGAAGGTCTTGAATATCTTGAATTAATTCACTGTCTGGTAAAGCCTGAACGTAATATCGTAATGCGGCTTTAGCTAATAGAAATGATAAACTATTGTTTTCTTCTATTTGTAAAAATGCAGTATTCAATAAATTTGCTAGTAGGCTTTTGATTCCTGTTAATTCAAAAGCGGTAATTTGTTTGAGGGTCGTTTTGTTATCTTCAAACTGTTCAATAAAGTTACTTTCTGTTGTCATTAATATTGATTAAGGTTAATGAGAAGAAGGTAAAGTATCTCTTCTTCAGTTAATTGTTTGGTTAAAAGTTGTATAGTTGTCCAAGTAATATAATTGATTATTTCCTGGATTATTCACTTTTTCTTTTGTGGTTTAACTTTTGCAGTTTGAATAAAATAATAGGTTTCGTCGTCTAAGTCAGTTCCTATTGGTGCAGAATATTCGTTGGGGCAATATCCTGGTTTGTATCGGTAAAGATTATGAAAGCAATTATTAAACCTAATAATATCGTGAGTTGCTTTTTGTTTAAATTCTTCAAGGTCTCGAATTTGTTGTTGAAGTTTTTCAATAAGGTCTTTTTGATTATTATCTTCCATTTACTCGTAATGAGTGAAGTTTTGATTTGGGTTAATCAAAGGTGTTTAAATAATTTTTCGATTTGATAGTCCAGTTTTCATGATTATTAATCTTGTCGTTATCGGTTTGATTTTTAATCAAAGATTTGTTTTGTTTATAAGATAGATGAGGATTACTAATTCTAAAATTTGGTTTGTTTA